TCTCTCTCTCTCTCTCTCTCTCTCTCTCTCTCTCTCTCTCTCTCTCTCTCTCTCTCTCTCTCTCTCTCTCTCTCTCTCCACCTATTCAACCTACCTAACACCACGAAGACTTCCAGGGAGTCCACGATTCGATAGGACAACCGTTATGCAGCACACACAGTAGAATTATCAAGCTGCCTTTTTTTTCGCGGACCCCCCCTTACGTGGCACTGCTTTCCTCTTCTTCGCCCCTGCTCTGCTGCCATCCCTTTCCGCCTGTTTGGCGTCCATCCGTTCCTGTCTCTCCTCAGCTCTCGCCTTCTCGTCCAACATACCTTGATATTTCTCAACCCAGCGAGGCTTCGACCACTTATCCACTAGTCTCATGTCCCTGACCTGGATCGTCACCCTCTTCGAATAGATGGCCACCTCGTTGGTGTTCTCGAAATTGGCGACCAAGTACGCCTCGGCAGCCTCCATCAAAGCACGCACCGCCGTCATCTGAAACCTCACGCCCATACCCGGAGCAATGTCGCGCTCCACAACCTCGCGCACGAGACGCAAGAACGGCCTGAAAGCCAAGCAAAGGTCGGTGGATCGTTGCAACTTTCTAATTTCCGACAAAGTTGCCATCCCGGGGCGTCGACGGCGTCTGGGGACCTGAGTTCGTGCACCTGCGGTGTCTCCGGTCCCTGGCACCGCCTTCAGGTTCACCTTCTTTCTGCCTGTGGGCGTTTGCCCACGTGGCGGTCCCGGCGTGCATTTCTTCTTCTTCCCCGGGCTCTGCGACATCGCGACATTGCTCGGCCCGCCCATGTCACCCTGTGCTGCAGAGCACCCCCCGACGCGACCAGGACCACATGGGCCCTCCACCTCAGCAGACAAACGAGAAATTTCTGAGCGCTTCTTTGTCCTCTTGCCTGCCTGCGCTGAAACTGGCAAGCCATCCTCCGGCATATACCGAATGTCTCGCAGGAGTCCATCTGAGTAGGTCAGATGGAAAGGCACACCAAGCTGGTCTCTGAATCTCATGGTGACGTTTCCACCATGCTCATATGTCATGGGACATACGACCGGGACCCAACCAAGAACGGTCGTGCAACCGTGCCTGCGGCGAATGCGAGCCATGTATTTGTTCTCACCGTCGCCGTGCTCTTGGGCCGTACAACTCCCCTCAACCATGGACCACATCCCCTAGTCAGCCATGGAGTCATAACCCGCGCACACCATCTGACGCTCCTCCTCCCTTATCTTCTCCCAGCACCACTTTGCGTGTTCAACCACCAGGACATGGTCCTTTACATTCACATTGAAAATTGAGACACGTGCCAGAACCACGAGAAACTGCCAATGCTCCACAATGTCTGCATGCATCCATCCCAATGGGAGCCAATGCCCTGATTGCAGTCTTGCTGCCATCGTCACCTTGCCATCAACCACTGCAGGATGCAAACATCCTGGGACCCAATTGACACGATAGCCATACTTTTCAGGGGCCATATGCTGATGCAACTTTCCTTCAGGGATGACACGGGCTCCAATGTCCATGACAGACAGAATATCACTCCTCATTGTGACATGGTCCCATATCTGCGAGCATACTCCATCGTACGTGGCTTCCTGCCCTCTTGCATGCGTGTATGTGCTGCCATCTTCACCAGTGAAAATTTTCCCTTCAACCACCTCCGAGTCTACAGGGTTCCGAAGCGGCGGGAAAAAGCAGCCAGCAATGTGGGTATTACATGCCGTTGCCTTCTTCTCGTCTTCTAAGACCTCTCTGTTGCGGTGCCTGAAGGAGAAGTTGTCATTCACATAATGCGTGCTCCAGACATTTCTCATGACATCACGCATCATCATCCTCACACGGCCACATGGAATCGGGATCACACATGGCACCCAACCCCACCTAGGATCCCTCTTCGCATCGCTTTCGTCGCACGCCGTACTCCCTGTTGCGTCGTTCCCGCCAATCACCCATGCCTTTCCGCAATCAAAACTGTCGTACAAAAAATCGTTCATCCTGAACTCGCCATGCGCCTCCAGAACACGCCACACGTCCATTGCATATCGTGCTTTCACCTCTGTTGTTGCCCCATCGTTCAACCTTAATAGTCTGTCAAACACGATTGTCAGAGTCACGTTTCGCCATGTATTCTTTTGGGGGGCAGGAAATGGAACCCATGTACCTTCAACTTTGAACGCAAAGCAGGGTGCTCCTCCAACAATACGCGGTTGAACACGACCCGACACCCAATTGATGTCATATGGGTACTCTTCTCCTGCTGATGTCTTCGTCATATTTTCATCTTTCACAATACACCCTGTCAGAGATTCTCTGCTTCCCAGATCTCCCTCCTCTCTCTCTTCCCCAACCGTTTTCGTCTCACAAGTGCTCCTCCTGCATCATTCTCTGTTTCATCACCATCACCCATCATCTCTGCAGTCTGTGCACATATTGTCTCAAGCACCTCTGCACAGTCTGCGTTGTTCCCTCCTGCCGAATTCCCTTCTTTGCTGCCATCTGCAAAACCCTTCAGAATATCCTCCGTCTCCATGGCGCATGTCTCTCCACCGTCGACAGTCGATGCAATCGCGGGTTCCATCTATTGCATGAGACACCACATACATTTATGAGAACACATAGCTGCGACATGCCCCCCTCACCAGAGAGAGAGAGAGAGAGGTTCACTAGTGCGGGCTAGAAGGACAACAAACAGCACCGGTGGACACTGATATGGCACGCAGTAGTGAACCACTTGTGTGTCGTGAGGCATAAAGCAACAAACATTTTGGACATAAATTTACTCTAAGCAAAAAGTAATAATACAGGCAACACTTAAACACACATCATAGTGTGTGTGTGTGTGTGTGTGTGTGTGTGTGCGTTTGTGAGTGAGTGAGAGAGAGAGAGAGAGAGAGAGAGAGAGAGAGAGAGAGAGAGAGAGAGGTTCACTAGTGCGGGCAAGAAGGACAACAAACAGCACCGGTGGACACTCATATGGCACGCAGTAGTGAACCACTTGTGTGTCGTAAGGCAAAAAGCAGCAAACATTTTGGACATAAATTTACTCTAAGCAGAAAGTAATAATACAGGCATCACTTAAACACACATCATAGTGTGTGTGTGTGTGTGTGTGTGTGTGTGTGTGTGTGTGTGTGCGTGAGAGAGAGAGAGAGAGAGAGAGAGAGAGAGAGAGAGGTTCACTACTGCGGGCCAGAACTCCAACAAACATCTCATGCGAGACAGGCATTGGCCCGCAGTAGTGAACCTCATGTTGTTGGACAGGGAAAGACGCAGCGACAGAGAGCGGTTCACTACTGCGGGCCAAAACGACAACAAACAGCACCGGTTGACACTGATATGGCACGCAGTAGTGAACCACAAGTAGTTGGAAATGCAAAGACCCAGCACCACCGAGAGGTTCACTACTGCGGGCCTGAACTCCAACAAACATCTCATGCGAGACAGAAATTTGGTCCGCAGTAGTGAACCTTATGCTGTTGGATAGGGAAAGACGCAGCGACAGATGGCGGTTCACAAGTGCAGGCCAGAACGACAACAAACAACAGCGGTGGACAGTGACATGGCACGCAGTAGTGAACCACAAGTATGTCAATACGGGAAAAGGCTGCGAACATTATAAACAGAAAAGTGTGGACGAAGAAGTTGTAATACAGGCAGCAATAAACATACATAATAGTGTGTGTGTGTGTGTGTGTGTGTGTGTGTGTGTGTGTGAGAGAGAGAGAGAGAGAGAGATCACGCGTCCCTAACCACCCGCGCAGCCACGATTTGACATCTTGTGTAGAGAGTTTTTAAGCGGTCGTTGATGTGAAGTTCTTTCCTGCAATGCTCACATTCGTTATTCCCTCCATGCTGGCTTGCGTTCGTTACGACCTGTACCATTATCTCTTTGATGTACGATATGAGATGGAAGAGACAGTCTGCAACCAGCCTCGCCATTTGTTGCGAATTCGCTTTTGCAACGAATTTTTGAAATGTGTCCGTCGTCATAGGCAACGCAACAGATTCTGCATCAGCACAAGGTGCTTTGCTAGCGACGACACATGGGAAGTTTTGACGAACGTGGTGACAATTCAGTGTCGCAACATCGGTGCACGCCAGTACGGCATGCGGCGCAGGCGCGCAGTCCCCGACAGTGGTCCCAATTCCTGTGGAGGTTTGCATTGTTGTGTCGATTTCTTCACCTGCCTTCGTCCTTTCACCTTCTGCACTTCCCATGACAACTTCGTTCGCACAAGTCACCGTCATTTCTCCATCCAACAACCTACCTCGTGTGTGTTGCAGGGCATCAATGACGTCCGAGCAACCGTTCAACAGAGACGTCATATGACAAGGAAGGTCATCCTTACCAATCGCGACACCCTCATCACAGAGACCGTACTCGTCTACGGTTTTCTTACAGTGGCGAATACAGTCTGCTGCGAAGGCCAAGAGGTCGACGACACTACGTGATGAAGCAGTTAGCGAACCCGTATTATATTTTTGGCTATCATACGATGTCCACCCCTCCTTCAGCACACACTTCTCAGGGCTGCCACAAGATGCGACATCAAGTCCTTGTGATTCCATGTGAGTTCTCTTTGTGACGTGGGCGGCGAACCGATTCAAGACCGCGGTGTGCCTGCATCTTTCACCATTCAACCATGTCTGGAACTCGTCAAACGTGGTGGTCTTCGTTTCAGCTATTGCCTTCAGTCTGGCAGTCATGTCCTCCCTCAGACAAGTTATGTCTAAACACTTTGGATCATCTGGCAACAACCAGAACACAGTGAACATCCTGTGTTCCGCAGTTTCTGTCATTTCTACGAGCAGTGACTTAATACGGCCTAGTTCGTCTAACATCTGTCCCGCCAATTGTTTCTGCTTATGTACCTCGTTTGTTAGCCTGTCTATATGTTCTCGCTGCTTCTCTACTATCTGACCCCAGTTTCGGTCCATCTCAGTCGTCTTCTCTTCTTTGGCCCCCACTAGTAGAAAGTGATCCGTCGTTGCATCACTCTTCGCCTGACTTTCTCTTCTGTCCGGTTTTGGCCAATCTTGACATCTGGAAATATATGTACATACAGAGAAATACAGAGAGATAGAGATAGATAGATAGATAGATAGATAGATAGATAGA